ACACTGGCAAAAGATGCTGTAATTGTAATCTGTTTGCTACAGTGGGCCTGATTATCATTTTCACCAGACTTTTTCGTCATGCACTCGTCGCAATTTCGATCAGAAAACGATAAATCGTTCAGCCCTATCTTCCACACACCAGTAGGCAATAAGTCTGCTACTACTAATAAAAATTATTAATATTGATAGTCAGTCCCATTTTGTTGTCAACTTCCATTGGCACTCAAATCCGTTGTGTTGTGACTTTTGGATTTGTGTGTTGCAGTTCGCTGATACCTGCCTGCTGGCAAGAATGTATTAATAGAGTTAAGAGAAGTGAAAAGGTCTACACCTATTTTAGAAGGGGAAACATGGCTCAATTACACAATGACAGTGTCACATCTAATGGATTCATAGCAGTGATTGTGATTATTTACTGTAGTGTATCATCATTGTGAACACACAACATCCAGGAGCTGTTACACAAAACCCTGACATCAAAAGAATATTCTCTGACTCAAGAACTTTGACAGGCCTCTATCTTTGCCTCAGTGGTGTCACATTGCTGTGACTGCCTAAAGCGTACCTGTGGGTGATGAAAGTGACAGAAGGGAGGAGGATGGGGGTTGTGCGGTACAGCAGAGGGGCTCTGCTCCACCAACAGTCGGGCCAATCTGTCAAGATCCGGCAGGCGGCCAGGGCATCTTGCTATCAGCCCTGCCTGCCTGACTGCAGTGTATTTTTAGAGTGATTTAGAGGTTCCCGTCTATAATGATAATAACACTGCAGCTCCTGCATGAAGCCAGACGCTCTCCTTTTGAATGGAGTCGTAGATAAGAAGGGATGGCGGGAGGCTCGGGAATTCCAGCAGCACACGCTGTAGCTGATATGAAATGAGGACGGATTTAAAGGGCAGCGCCACTGACCACTGAAATAGGTTGTGAATGTATACGTGCATTGAACTGAACCGAACACAGCGAGCAGCAGTGAAGGGAGATCAAGATGATCTGATGAGATGTTGGAACACCTTGCTGCATTGTTTTACAGATTAATAGACAGAGATTTAGTGTAGCTGTTTTGTTTTATGTGAAGGGAAGTGATGATGATGATGATTGCAAATTCAACCTCACAATTGTCTACATAATAATTATATTCATACTTGATCAACTTTATTTGTGTAGCACCTTTAAAAAAAGCAGTTTAGAAAGTGCTTTGACAGACGAAGCAAAAATAGGATAATCAGTAGGACATTGAGCCAGAACAGAAGAAGGCCAAACACAAGCAAGACAATTAGCAAGATATAGCAATTAGACAACATATTGTAATTAAAGATAAATGAATACAAAAATAAGAAAGAATAAAATCCGTAATACTAAAAAGACAACATCACATAAAGGCAAGTCTATAAAAAAGGTTTTGAAGAATTGATGTAACAGAAGTCTCTGATTCTGAAAGCTTTATCTCCTCAGGCAGGTCGTTCCAAAGCCCCTCAGCCTTGACAGCAAAAGCATGGTCACCTTTATATTCAAGCCTCGACTTTGGAAGAGCCCGGCAGCCCATCTTTCTATGATCTTTGTACATTTGTCAGACAAGGTTTTGCTCCATCATAAACATTATCACGCTGTTAGCAGAGTGCTGTAGTACAACACAACATTCACAGCTTCTGCTAGTCAGAGCTGATTGTCACAACATCTGTAGTAATAAGATCGCGTATCTCTTTTTAATTATCAATCTCATTAGCATAACTGTATATATCATGGTAACAACATTATCTGCTGCAGTAGTGATAACTCTAATGTCATTTCTTATCTCTGTTGCAAGAAATTGACTTAATTGTGTCCATTAAAGACTACTCTAATTCAGGGAATGCAGATTGGCTGAGGCGCAAGATTGTTAAAATTCCTAGTCACAGTTGCAGGTTGAAAGAGGTCATAGATCATATAATGGGTGTTCAAAATGAATTTTAATGTTGATCCAAGAGGTGACATACAAGCTATATGCTGCTTCGCATTCATATAGTTGCATAAAGACACATAAACAGCCCTGTGTTGCATATTAATGATGATAATAATATAGTCTGATTTTTTACTTTTTTTGTAATGGGAAAGTCAGTGTTCTGTATATTTTGTCCTCTGGTGTCTGAGTGGATGGAGATATTGATTAAGTAATTTTCAGGGGGAGCTGTCCTCCCTCTTGTTCACCCACTTTCTGTCTATAACCATGTGCCAATATTTCTTTCTGGTTTTCGCCACAAACTGACACTGCTCACTGTGAGAGCATTGGATGGAGAGGTTGGGACTTTTTCTGGTCAGCTGTAACCTAATGAAGCATCTGAACACACCAGTGTGTCTTTCCCATATTTTGTACAGCCAGAGTCGAAGGGGAAGAATTGTATACGAGAGTGGAAGAATTAGAAATAGGAGGAGAGTGAGTGTGTAAGAAGAACACAAAGATGATTGTTACAGGGCCTGAACAGACTGATTTACAGTATGTGATCACTGTCCATCTGGTCACCTTATGTCACAGCACATCATACTGGTTTCATTGCTTGGAAGAATTGACTTTACTCCAAGTTAACATATCAATTGATTCTCTCAGTGGTTGTCCTCACAACAAATACTGGGAACAACTTCCATCTCTTTCAAATGGAGTCCCTTCTGTGCATCGGTGTGTTTCTGATGGACGTGCATCTAATTCCAAGTTTTAATTTCATATATTAGGATTCATCTGAGTCATTTCTTATTTTTCAATGCATCAAATGTCTTACTTTCTCCTTGACAAATTAGGCCCATTGTGTTTTGTGATTAGTTTTCCACTCATAATTCCCAGAGGTTCAGAGGTTTTGATGAACCCAATTGGTTAGTGCGTGACCAGACAAATGAATCTAATTTTCCTATTTGTTTTACAATGTGTCTTGTTGCAGGAAATTCCCAACTAGGGGCAACCATTGTGGATGCCTTAGACACCCTCTACATCATGGGTCTGCACGAGGAGTTCAAGGACGGCCAGGAGTGGGTCGAACAGAATCTGGACTTCGGTGTGGTGTGTACCCACTTTCCTTTTATACACATGAACATGTATGGAACAGCAGTGCTCAGGAATTGTTTAGATTTGAGGTTCTGCTGATGGACCAAATGCTGTATCTCTCTACTCTGGCCAAACTGCACTAGACTTTGGAAGAGGGCAGAGACTCACATTTGAATAAATCTCACTTGAGTGGCTAAATGAACCTCAATTAAGGATAGAATGCTTGCCTAGTTAGATTACCTGCTCTTTGTGAGGAAACACACTCAGAAGAACGGCCTCTGGAATCATAAATCATAGTTTCTCATCAAGGTCAATAGCCAAATGCTTAATTTGGCCACTCACTTTTATAGTGTACCTTCTCTGATGACTGGAAAATCAGCACTCAGCATTCAATGAGAGAGAAATAATCATGCAAAAGAAACTAACAGTTTATGCAATTTAAATTGAGTTGATACAGTTTTCTTCACATTGTTTTGAACAGTAATACAGCATGCTCTCTCTCCTCTCACTCTCCTCTCACACTCCTCTGTTAACAGCCTCCTCTTTTCCTTCTCTCGTGTACATCAGAACTGCAGCTCTCCTCATTTATTTCTGTTTCAGTCGTCCTCTCATTACAAGCTTCCTTCTCCTTTTTTTCACCTGTCAGTCACTTCTTTCCCTCTTTTGCCGTGTTTTTTTTTTACTGTGTCCCTGCAAACTCTTACGACCGTCTTCATCCTACCTTACCTTTTTATTATTAATTTTTTGTCTTCCCTGTTTTGTCTTTATTGTCACCCTTTCTCTCCGTTTTCTTTACAACCTCTTTGTAGTCAGCTGATTGTCTCCAATTTCCCCTCTTTCATTGCAGTCAATTATTATCTGTCCCTCTATCCCTCATCTTCCATGTGTAGCACTCCGGAGGCACCATAATTATCGGGGTCGATAAATTATCGTTTGATAATGGGAAATTTACATTATTATGCATTATTCTGATAATTAAATTATTGCTGATAAATTATTTACAATAATTTAGTTTTAATTATTATGCAAAACATTTGATAGGCTCATGGCCTGTGAAATCCAAAGTATGTTGGTGCTGAAGTCTCAGAACTGTTTTTGTTGTGTAGTGATGTCAGTTTAAGTTGGTTAGGTCAGCGCTATGGAATCTGAAAGCATCCATCTTACCCTCAGGTATGCATATGGTACAGGTCATGAATTTATTTTTAAAATACAAAAATGTCAGCTATGACAAATGGATAATTATTATTGGTTATCAGCTGGGAAAAAATCCACATTGTGGTTCCCTAACTCACACCTAACTAGCTTCTTCTCACGTATCAGTCCACCTGTCGTAGCTCTCACCACCTCCTCTGTCCTTACATATCTCATTATCCTTTGTTTTGCATTACCTCTTTGTCTCTTTTCTTCTCTTACTCTCTGCTTCCCCATTATGGCCAAGCTGTCATCCCTCCTTTCTTCCATTTTTTCAGATCTGCCCCCCCGGAATCATTATTCCGTGCATGCCTTCTCGTCGCTCTCCTTTCTCTCTCTTTTTTTTCTTTTCTTACTTTCTGCTCCAATGTCTGACGGCCGAGCTTGTTAGTCCCCCTGCTGAGGCAATCACAGGGCAGCTAGCAGGTAGGCAGAGGGGATCTAACAGTCTGACACTTGGAGGGCTAATTAACCTCAGAATCACTGTGGTCGAGCAGTGGAGAGAGGGATACTGAGAGGAATTGGTGATGGAGAACGGGGGAAAGAGAGAGGCTTAGATTGAGGACGAAGGAGAAATTTGGTCTGGAGAGATGGAGGGTAGAGAGGGATGGAGAGAGAGGGGGGGAAAGCAAGAAAGAGGAATCCTAGTGAAGATCAGTCAGACTGAGGAGGTAGGAGTTTTGATGGATCGACTGCGAAAGAGATAGAGATCAGCAGTGAAGAAAGATTGAGGGGTGTACAAATAAGCAGTGGATGCCCAAAAGACAATTTGGGAAAAGGGATAGGTGCAAGGGAGAGGGGTCACTACGGACTTTGAGGACTCACCTGCTAGCTTGCCACCCAACCAAGTGAGGCATTGGAGGCACCAGAAACAAATGGAACGGTGTCAGCTGTACAAGGGTCTGCGTTTTCACTTTACACTACACACATCCTCAGAACCCTCACCAGAAGTATCATTTCTGGAGAAAGTTTTCAAAGAAATGGCAGAACTGGAGCCACAATATGTAATTCCAAGTGGCAAAGCAATCTAAGCCACTTTATTAGGTACAGATGTACAATCTAATGTAAGCCATTTCAACAGCAAGTCTACTTTTATGATGCTTATAATGTTTAGTTTTTGACACCAATTATATATTTTGGCATTGAGGTCATATTTAGTGGTGGTGCTGTTCTGAGATAGAGGACAATAGAGGGTAAAATTTGAATCAGATAAAGTGCATTAGGGGAGGATATTTAGATCTCAGTGGGAAAGAACAGATCAAAGTAGATTAGATGGTCTTGGGAACTTTGTATTTTTTTTTTTTTTGTAGTTGTCAGACCCAGAAAAACAAAAATATAATGCAGATAGGAATGAAAATAAACACATTCACAATTTTCAAGTGAAAATGTGCACAGTGTTATCCAAAATAACTGCAGGAGCAGCCACTGTAATAAAATGTGCCTTAGCAACAAACAATATGAGATTTGTGTCTTATGAAAAAGGTGGAGAATTATAAAATGTCTAACAAATGTAATAACAGTGACAGGAATATGAGACAATGAGAAAAAATAGCACGTGTTTGAATTGAGTAATAAGAATCAGAGACAGGAGAGCAGAGGAGAAGCTCTTTGGTTACACAGGAGGGGAATGGAGAGAAGAGATTAGAGGGTGGAGAGGGAGGCGAAGAGAAGAGAGGATGCGACTTGAAGCTCCTGTTAACGAGCGAGAGGAGGAGGGAGGTGTGTTGCCATGTTTTCATTAACGGCTTGGTTCGATGCTCTTATACCTGCATGCATTAGGCAAATGATTCAGGCATTAGCTTCCAGCTACTGTAACATTCTTGAAAGGTTAAGATAGCTTATACCGAATCTTAGCAATATGGCCATGGCATTACTCTGGCTTCTGCTCAGGCCTTTTACAAAACAGGTAATTCCCCGGCTCATAGGGAGCAATACTTTTCAAGCCTGCAGTGGCCTGGCAGCATAATTGGCTGCAAAAGTGTTATTAAGCTTGGCCCTTGTGAAAATCAAAGATTTGTTCAACCTAAGGTGCAGCCATACCAGCCTCTCTAGTGAGAGCTCTGAGGCAGGAGTTAGGGCACAGTGTGAATTTCCATTTTAGAGATTAAAGACATCACTCTTAGTCGAGTTTAATCTCTCACCTGTGCATTTCCTCAGCTTAACTGCTTTGTGTTTGCGTGTGTGTGTGTTGTGTGTGTGGTGTGGTGTCATTTCTGTTAATCCAGTTTGACAGTTGACGCTTTTCTATTGTAAGAATGTGTTTGCCCTTTCGCTTTATCAAATTTATGTCTTAAAAGGTCGCAGTGTGTAACATGTTAGGATGATCTATTGGAATTATAATCATAGGTAGTGCTTTTCATCAGAGTATTATCACCTGACATATAAAGAATTGTATTTGGTTACCTTAAAATGAGCTGTTTTTATCTTTTTAGCTATTATCATAGCTTTGGCCATCATCCTATCATCATATTTTACTCACCTCAATTGCTAAGGTCTGTGAACACACCAACATTACACCAACATTTCTCCAACAAAGACTGGTGGGACAAGAAAGACGATCAGGTCTTACGTACAGTATAGTACAGTAAAAAGCTATATGATCCTCTAAGTTTGTGTGTGTGTGTGCACGCATGCAAGGTCTTGACATGATTACACGTAACTCGATCTCACAAAAGTGCAAAAAAGTGCACATCATTTAGTATTATGTGCGTGTCAAATAGTCCTTACTTTAAATCATACATTTATTGCCCTCATATGCTTTTAAGAAATGTATGCACATTTTTAGTGTGTGTATCACACCGTCCCTCCACCACTTCTCAATTCAGCCACCCACCTGCCACGACCAGCTCTGCCACTAATGAATGATTAAATAGCTGCCATGTCAGGTTGAGCCAAGCAGTGAGTCATTGTTGGAGTCTCCAGTGTCCTGGTGGGGCCCCCGCACTGCAGCTTGCCCTCAGATTATGGATGTGTCGGCGTGAGGTCTGCATCCATCGGCAGGCTCAAAGATCCACCAAATTAATGGACTCTGTTAACTGACGCATTAATAACCCTGGTTAAATTGAGGATTTGATCAGAGAGGACGCGGCAGAGATGGAGAGATAAATTAATGCTAGCTGTCAAAGAGTACGTTTCAGCCCAGTTTGATTAACCAGATTTAATTATAGAGGAGCAAGAGTTCCAATTCATTTTATTGCATTTTACATGGTGAAAACGTCAGCACTTAAGTGTTAAAGGTGACACTGTTTTTTTAGACATGAAGAGATGCACATATCTACCACACTCTTTTGGAAAGGCAAAAAAATTGCCCCATAAGTTACATTCTGCTGCTTATTTTGGTGAAATCATGTCCTTATTAGACACCCCCTCTCCCATCCTTTCCCCGTCCCCCTTAGCCTTTTGGTGAAGGTGAGACATTTGACAGTGACTTCCCCAGCTCTGTCTTCCTCTCTTGTCACCTGGAATGACAATTCATTGCAGAATTTAATATTTTAGGTGAGTCGCCTGGATGACATGTATTTCTATTGTTTGCCTTCAAACTTCAAAGACTGTCATCACATTTCTTCATGCTCTAGTGAAAGGTATGTGCCGAACACATGGGCTACATACTTGTGCTCACAGATAGACACTACATACTGTAAATGAAAAAGAAATCATGTTATATGCATGTGGCGCCTTTCACTTATTTAAGGTAAAAGAAATGTACCATGTGTTAATGGTACACTCACTATGCGCCGCTTGTTCTGTATGTTCTGTCCAAAATGCAACGATATTCAGTTTACCTTCATATACAACTATCAAAGCAAATATAAACAATTGAGAAAAGGTGGAACAACATTCCGACATTCCGCACGTATTCTTTAAAAATGACTCAAAATGATTTATTGATTAGCAAAATTTCAGCTGGTTACATTTTTGGCGTCTGACTTATTCCTCGTATGCTAAATGCATGCTCCCACTCTAGAGGATAAGCTTCTATTGAGAGATCAGCAAAATGAGTAACTAGTAGTAAGAAGAGCAAGACAGAGCCACAAATGACTACATGTTAACCAAAATATTCTTGTGGACCCCAAGAAGAGGCACTTTCACAATAGTGACAGGATCCAATTAAAATAAACAACAGTGATTATCTGTGACAGGAAACTGCACAAAGTGAAATGGCTTGTAAGATGGGTTGACAGATTTCTGTTTATACTGGTGCATGGGGGATATTAATAGAGAAAGTATAAAAGGTTGAAAAGTAGATGTAATTCACAGGGGAGAGCGAGTACAATGTGTCATTAAGTGTCCAATGCTAGAAGATCAGAGAAGAAATGACTCTGCTGTCCTATTTTGTAGTTTCAGAACAAAAACAATTAATTTAAATCAAAACTTCTATTCTTGTGCCACCCCCGTGCGTCATTGAACAACCTACGTGATTCCTCGCTGTCCTATCTGGGTTCACTGCAGGCATTCTTAAATCAGAGCTGTGTTATAGCCCTTCTGCTCATTGGGGTCTGGGCTCTTAAACTACAGTTGTAAATGGCTAACAAGTGAGGCTGACTGACAGACGGGGAGTAAGATAGATAGATGCTGCCAAACAAAGCTAGCCTTGAGCTTTATAAAAGCTTCCCATCCCTTCATCACTCTGTTCAACACAACATCCACTCAGTGCTGCGGCTACCCATGACTAGCAGCCCCTGTTGTTTTGCTGTGTGCTTCCTGATTCATTGTGCGTTTCAGAAAGACCCCCCCAACAGCAATCAAGTTGTTTAACATCATTAGATATCAGTGGAAAAGGAATTGTCTGTGACATGATGGCTTGTTAAAAGGCAGTTTTTCCTGGTACTGTTGGGTCTCTGTAAATGTTATAAGGGAGTTCGGTCTAGACACTGCTCAATTTGAAAAAGTGTCCTGAGATAACTTGTTATGAATTGGCGCTATACAAATAAAATTGAATTGAATTGAATTGAATTGTAAGTTCAATAGTGGTTCATCCGAAAAAATTTTTGTTGCTTTCTCTGTATGTAATATTCGCGTTCTGTAAGTATTCAAGCAAAGTTAAATAAATATATTGTCGTATGAAATAATCGTCCGAAAATAACGCCCCTTGTGTAAAGGCCTTTACACCAATTTTGAAATGATGAGTGGTGGTTGAAAAGTGCTGGTTGTGCTGCTACATGCATCATTTCAAAAGTCTGGTCCAAAATATCTTTCTGTAATGAGTTTAATATAGCTGTTCAATGATTGTTGATAATTATGTTATCATTTTCCCTCTATAATGTAGTGTGAAATTTTTGTACAGGGTTCATTATTGAGACAATTACACAATTGTTTAATGGTACATATGCTAATTAGCTTCAACTTCAAGAGAGAACTCCTTAAGATTTATATATAGGTTAAAGGCACATGTATTCATTTGTATTGACCATATAGCAAGTATGCAAAACAAAGGATAGATGATAAAAACATGGGTAAACCTTGAGGGGGAAAAAAGCAAGAGCGGGTTAAGCATGGGGTCTTGGACTAAGTGGTACATACTAAAGAAAAAAAGAATGTATTTGGAGCTGTGGAGATGAGAGCCATTTGTCACCTCATACCATTTACAGTCAGTATTCAATACTCCCTTGTTGCCAGCACGACTGCACACATGGGATTTGCAATAGGACCCAGCTGCAAGTGACACTGGGACATTGTCACACATTCTGATAGCGTGCAAAACCATTTTAAGTCAAGGTCAATTGTAGGTGACTCTAAACTCTTGCTTTCGTTTGCTGACTCCAGAATCAACGGCAGAAAAAGTGACCAGTTTACAAGTAGAGTGGTCCCCTTTGTTTCAAGAGAGAGTCAGACCGATTACATCCAAGAGGCCAATATCCATTATTCTACTACAAATGGCTCACAGATTATGAGATAAAAGATCAATGTTGTAAGGAAGCTCCAATTTTTCATTCATGATCCATACCGTAGACATAATGCTGTGGTCCCCAGTAGATAAGAAAACATTGTGGTGGAAATTACTCTATTGTCCTGTGGGAGGAGGGATTCCAAGACTGGCAGTTCCCCATATAGGTCTATTGCAAAGGCTTCCCAGCAGCAATTTAAATTCATGACAGCTCTAGAAACTGACAGAGAGTGCAAGAAACAGAGAGAAGCCATGGGAAAAATTAGGAGTAGGTTAGTGGAGAATAGTTGGAAATCGAGGGCAAATGGACAGTGATTTGGCCACCACTGCTGACCCGAAACTAAACTGTTACGGTTGAGCATCGAAACAGATTATTAATGTTGTCCGTCGACACCTGCTCCCGAGACCCCAGATATCTCCGGTAACAGATGAGTGCAGCGATCAGTGTGTGAGACGCAGTCATGATCATGTTTTTCAACCTACTAGACTATTCAACACGTAAGAGCCCGAGTTTTAAAATTCAGACCATGTTTCTGTTCACCTCCTCTAGTTGTCTCTCTCTCTCCATCCCTTTTGGAGCACATTTACTGTAAATTGAGGTCATTCAGACCGCCCTTTAGAGAGATGCGCAGGTAAAGTCCTCATATCTTGTATGTTTTCATTTCGTCTTCGTGAAAATATCAATGCAAGGTCACAATGTAATTTGCAGGTAGCTCTCAGCATTTGAATGTACTGGGCTGCAAGGTGAATAGTCTTACTGCATCAGGGTTGCAATGGCACCCAGGAACATGTCGAAAGAATTGTACTAATTTGACATGAATAACTTCATGGTGGTAGTCTTAAGTGTTTTTGCACTGAGTTGTCTTAAGATGCTTAAGGTACACATGCTCACCCAAGGCCACTGAGACGGCTGTGGTCCCTGAGACAGCGGCAAGAGTAGCAGGAGGGTGATTATTCTTTGGGGTACATTAGAGTGAATAGAATAGTTGAGATTTAGCACCACAATTTTAGCTACAAATGAATAGCCAGGGTAACGCCTGAAGGCTTTATTGGTGGAAGAAATATGCATGAACTTTGTGTGCAGTGTTTTTCCACTTGTAGTGGACTAAAGGTCTGGCTTTAGTTAAACACATTTTCTGAAGGCAGCTTTTAAGGCTCTCCAGTATCACACATTTTGTGATACTGTGATATCTGTAAGCAGGTTACAGAACTGTTGATCACCAGCAGTGACACAAGGATTATTTCAGTTTCAGTTTTTGCTTTCAATTGTTGCTGTCTGATCCAGGATTTGATTTCTAAATCCCCTTCGAATAGGAGAGTCAGAGCATTCACAATCACAATCTTCTGCTTGGCATTTTCAGCTGCGCAGTGATGGAGGTCATGCTACCAGTGTGTATCAGGAATAAAGTCTGGTTAAAAAGCCATGTGTTGCAGTCTGCCATAGTGACTTGTTTGATACCACCACTGGGCAGTACCAGGGTCAGAAACTTAAAATACCACTGAGGGAAATAACACCTCTGATCTTCTCCCTGAAATGCTTATTTTATAAGATGCCAAATTGCTCAAAATCTGCTCGAAATTTGCTTAAAATATGTAATACATTTAGTACAGAAACCCCAGATGGAGCCCATGAGAAAAACTCAGATGAGACTAAAACTGCCCAAGAAAGAGTGGCACAAAACCAACAGAATGTCCATATAAAAGCATACATACATTATGTAAATTGGGTTATCCTGTCTGATGTGGTTTTTTTCTGTGCTCTCTTGTTTTCCAGAATGCAGAGGTGTCCGTGTTTGAGGTCAACATTCGTTTCATTGGAGGACTGCTGGCCGCCTACTACCTCTCTGGACAGGAAGTAAGTGCTCATATCTGTGTATGTGTATGTGTATGTGATATAATGAGTGAGTGAGTGAGTGAGCGAGCGAGGCCCCTTGTGCCTTGTGTCGGCTTAAGAGCACACAGAGTGATGCAGGGGGTTAAGGATTGCTCTGGGCTTTTATTTCCTGAACAGTAGGGGTAGCAGGAAGAAGGGATACAGAAAGAGAAGCAAGGAGCCTTTTCTCCCTCCCTCTCTCTGTTTCTATTAAGGCCAGCGGGCAGGTTTTGGTTCCTTGTTAAGGAGCTGGTATAAGTTGAATCCAGCCATGCATCTCTTCTTTTCTGTTCTACTCTCCTCTCTCTGTCCATCCTATCCAATCCTGCTTTCATGCTGAGCCAAGCAGTGCTCCCTCTGTAATGGGAGCAAATTCATTAAATATGTGTACAACGCCCACATCCAGTGTTCTCTTTATTATAATGTTATGTGTTCTTTTGCAAGTGCTGGCCAGCAGATTGCTAAGGAAACCTACTATTTGTAGTCAGACATTTTACTTACTGCCTGAAAATACATTCCTTGATTTTCAGTATCAGCTCTATGAAGCATAACCCATTTCATCCTTTGTTTCTGTTCTTTTTCACATCAACACAATAAGAAAAGGCATAGTCTGATGATGTCATGAAGTTGTATTGGATCATGGGAGTTGTCTTCACTGTTAAAACAGCCACAATTGCCAGTGAAAATCTATCTGACATGACTCAGGCAGAAATTATGTTTGAAGTGAAAGTTATTCAAATAATATTTTGTCACGTTTGCCGACTTCCTCTTACACAGCACACCACAGGTTACTTGGACGTTATAGCAACTACAGACAAAAAAGAAACTGTTGCCTGTAGGCATGGGCCAAAAAAATTGCGATACACAATATCATCACAATAATTTAACTTTTAAAATGTCACTTAAACATACTGGAATCCCTTTACTTCACATTTTGTTAAGAAAACATATATTTATTGGATCACAGATAGGCTCCTCATCTTCCTGTTGTTTATTTTTTAATATATATACTCTTCCACACTTCCACACAACTTTATTTTGTGGGTGATATAACGGGGAAGTCGAGCCTTCAGCCATGGTAACAGGCTGAGGATTTTGGAATGACTGGAAAGATGCAGATTCCCCCTTCTCCCCTTGTTCAAAATAAATCAGGATATCAATGTAGGACCACCCCTAATAACCTGTTGTACTGTAACCAGAACATTTTAAATGAACAAAATATGACATAGGTCTAGTCATTTTTAGGCATTTTAATGCGGAAATGTTCCATATTCTACATGTAAAATACTGAAACCATGCAATGTTGTGCTGAACTGACACTAACTGAGCAGGGCAGCGAATAATATCTTTTTTTATTTGAAAGGTGTATTGAAAAGAAAACATCAGTCATAATGTTGAGTGTTCAAATAAAAATAAAATGTCTATAAATTACAAAAAAGCATTCACCACGAGCACATGGCAAATTAAATCTGTATAAGTTGATCTAATCGCTTATAAAAGTTTGGCTTACTCCTACGAATAACGCCCCTATCATTGAAAATGCCCATTAATCTTTGCCCCACCACGGTGAGTGAAGGTGGGCTTTTTAAAACTGATGAACAGGGATTTTGTTAAATCACACATAAACTAAAGGGCCTTCCAAGCAAAACTTAACATCACTCTTATTCTGCACCTTTTCCCTCCCATTCCCTTCGCTCGATTCCACCTGCTCCCCCCAAATCAAACTCAGTCATTCATCAGAGCCCACTCGAGCGATAATAGAAGCAGTGGGCGGTGGGAAAGGAGGGAGATGGAGCATGGGAGGGCTCAGAGGAGAGACAGTGATGGAGGGAACAGAGGAGAGGGTGGAGGAACAACTGCGACGGGACAGTGAGGATGAGCGGAGGGTGTGTGAAGGTGAGGGTTACAGATAAAGAGATGGGAGTGGAGAATGAGGATGATGAATGGCCGAGGGGGGGAAAAGCAAGTGAGACTCATTCTTCACTCTCATCGGACATGTCCTTGAGCAAGGCACTTAACCCCTCAACTGCTCCTGTCAACCAGCAGCAGAATAAATGGTTGTTACTGGGCAGCTCCGTGAGGGAAATTGTGTGTAACTGCTTGAATAAAAAAGCAGTGCCCACTCCCTGCATTGATAGAGGTTTTAAAAAAAAAGAATGGGAGCTCATGTGGGAGAATTTGGGTGAGGAAGTGAGAGATTTGACGACAGGGTGAACTGGAGGTCGAGGGTGAAGTTTTCAGAATTTATCAGCATCTTTCCCAGCTGGATGTCAGCATGTCGTTGGAGATGAAGCCTCCAGAGGAGGGAGGAGGGAGGAGATCGGGAGGAGAACTGAGAGGAAAACAGTAGGGTCAGGCATGGTTGGTTGGAGGAAAGAGAGGAGAGGAGAGGGCGTTACAGAAAGACAAAAAAAGAGAATAAGCAGGACTGAATGAAGAACATTAGTGGTTAAGAAGACTGAAAGAGGACAGACAACATGAAAGGGACATAAACACGGAAGAGAGAAGTGAAACAAGGTAAAAAGGAAGAAAGAATGAGAGATACATAAACTAAATTAAACATGTATAAAAGTAGGGTGAGAGGAGTGAGTGAAAAATTAAACTCAAGAGAATAAAAAAAACATAAGCTTGAGAGACAGAAAGAAACAGCAACATGGATGCAAAGACTAATGGAGTCACTTTCTACATCTGTTACTCTCAGCCCAAACTGTTGACTGTTGAATTCACTATCTGACCTACCACTGTAGCTGTCAAACCTGAACTTTTATTTTCTCATCTCGTCCACAATTTTTAGGGAGTAATCATGGCATGTAGCTCATGTGTTTTTGTTTTGCCGACTAATATGTGAACTGGAATCAGGGCTGAAGCATATACAGAACTTGCAGATGATGCTTTTATAAGAGCATGGAGAGAAAAGATGAACAGAGACAATGACCGTGCGGCCACTTTTCATGTCAACACCACACAAAGCAGATGAATGATTTTTGCCTTCTGGCTGCCACTTGCTTCCCCTGTAACATTAGCTGCCGCTGGCTGATAAACATTATCAGTATTACTTGCTTGTCCTTCATCCCTTCACTGCATCAGTCCTTCTTTTTTCACCTCGTTCAGCAACCACATCACAGTTGTTGGCCTTCTAGAGAAACATCGGACACTCAGCTGCTGTGACACTTTACGATAGCTAGGCTACGTAGTGATATAACGTACCAATGCGATGGGTAAGGCCAGCTGGACAACAAGGTCATGCAGGTGAGAACAAAGACAAGACTCTAGCTAATTAATATGCACACTCGCCACCAGCTGTCCGCGGGGTACTTCAGGTGGTCTACATGTAGTTAATGACAGTGATGCATGTGAATTACTTAACGTTATGGTAGATTGCCCTCAGTGTTAATCTATCGAAATGACGAATGGCCTTCAGATTTTCCCATCATTGTTAAAAAAAATCAGTCAGTGCTGGAAAATATTTGTTTAGCGCAAACACAGAAATGCTACACTGCCAAAACTTGTACATGGAAATGTGAGCCATAGCAGCAGAACAAGACTTGTCCTCCAGGTCCTATGTCCACACTCTGTAGACCACCACAGATATTAGACTGGACCTGGCAGGACCAGAGAGGACCTGATGGTGTAATACCATGAGAAGCACATGCTGCAACTTTATGCTGTTAGCCAAAATGCAAAGATTACAGGAAAGACTTTGGATTCGTTGTGCTGGAGATGGTGTCTGTCACTTTGAGTGATTTGGAGTGACCCATGCTGGCTACTCTTCCCTGAGTTAGACATCATCTGCCAACTTCACCATTGGCCTCTTTATTCATATTTCTGTGCTCTGTGCTTATTTGCCATCGAAATGAAATTTTAAAAAATGGAATCACCCTTCCCACCCCAAGAGAGAATTGCTCCAGTATAGTTATGTAATATTGAAGTGCAAGGAATATAGGACCAGTCTAGGTAATTTTAATCAGTGAAGTAACTGAGGCAAGCTCTTTATGCTCTTTGTAAGATTTGTAAGAAAATGGAGGCTGTGCATCAACAAATGAGTTTCAAGAATGCAAGTTGATGCACACATTTTCAGACGCCTCTAAAAGAAAGCTGCTGTAAGAGAGAGACACAGAGGGAAATACAGACAGCAAATTAGACAGAAACAAAGGCTGAGGAACAGATGAACAGAAAGTGATGCAGAGAAAAAGAGTTAAGAGTTGGAGATCAGCATTCAGGAGGAGGAGGTGTTGGTCTGGGAATCGAGGCAATGCAGCAGTGATGGATTGTGTTTACTCCTCTGTCTGTCCTCAGCTTTATTTTTTGTCTCTCCTTCTGTTTCAACCTCTTTCTCTTAATGTCCTCACCACCTTCTCCTCTCTTTTCACACTGTCTTCTGTTTTGCTATTCCAGCCACCTGTCTGCACTGATCCAATTGGATCATCTCCTGCTTTCTCTCATCTCCATGCCACTAATTCTCTTCTCTTTTCCTCTCTTCTCTTTCTTCTTCTTTTACTTTTCTGCCCCTTTTCTGCCCCTATGTTGTCTTTTCTTCACTGAGCTATTTGTTTTTAATCTTTGTTTCTCCTCATTCCTCTGCTCTCTCTTTCTGTACTTTATTTTTCTATTGTGCTTTCTCTATTCTTCCCCCCTCTGTCATCTGTCCTGTTTTTTCATTTGCTCCCTTTCATCCCTTTGATTCCCTTGATGTCTCCTTACCCTTTCTGTACTGTAACTCCTCCTTTCTCCTTTTGCCTATGTTCCTAACTTGTTTCTTTGCTCCATCTCCTCCTCAGATTTCCATCTTTTGTCCTCCTCACTCTTCTCCTCAGCTTCCATCTTGCGTTTTCCTTGTCTTTCACATCCTCTCTACTTGTCCCTCCTTTCTTTTTTTCATGTTATCTCATCTCTCCAGTCCCTGCTTTCACACTTTTTAATCCTTCAACTCCTTTAATCTTACACTAAATGCCTCTCTATCTCCAATTAGTATTTTTTCCAGC